TTTTAAAAAAGTATTTATTAATTTATTTTTGGCTGCATTGGGTCTTCGTTGCTGCGTGCGGGCTTTTCTCTAGTTGTGTCGAGCGGGGGCTACTTTTCGTTGCGGTGTGCAGGCTTCTCATTGCGGTGGCTTCTCTTGTTGCAGAGCACGGGCTCTAGGCACGCGGGCTTCAGTAGTTGTGGCGCACGGCCTTCAGTAGTTGTGGTGCGTGGGCTCAGTAGTTGTGGCTCGCGGGCTCTAGAACACAGGCTCAGGAGTGGTGGTGAAAGGGCTTAGTTGCTCCGCCACATGTGGGATCTTCCCGGACGAGGGCTGGAACCCATTTCCCCCGCATTGGCAGGCGCCACCAGGGAAGTCCGAAGCTTTGTCTTAAAACTGCCTCCAGCTCACACCTGCTGGACTGAGTGGCCCTCAGAGCCCCCCACGGCCTCGCTCTGCAGCGCCTTCCGCTCCAGGTTTGCCTTTTTAAGGAGCATCTCTTCCCTCTTTCCTGGTCCTTCTGCCTGAGGCTTAGGAAGATCTGCCACTTGACAGACTCTTGCATCGTGATGTCGTCTGTCCTCCCCCGGCCCTGGAGTCGGTGGAGGTGCTGATGTCCCATGCCCACATGAGCCAGCTCTGCCTCTTTCCTCTTGACCAAGGTCCCTGCTCTTACCCGTCTTTTTTTTTTTTGGCGGCGCCTCGAGGCTTGTGGGATCTTAGTTCCCTGACCAGGGATTGAACCCAGGCCCCAGCAGTGAAAGCACCAAGTCCTAACCACTGAACTGCCAGGAATTCCCTTACCCTTCCTTCTAATGAATGTTTAATTAACTTTGAATGACGGTCTTATATCTAAAATGCCATTAGTCAGCTTTTTATTGCCTGCCATTGCCCTCTGATTAAAGAAATAACTTATTTTTCCCTTTTGCCCTTTCAGAAATTAGATAACAAGTAGCAAAATCATTTGAAACCATTTTAAATCCCATTTAATCACAAGGATGTTGTCATAACTTCATCATCAGTGAAATACTGATAAAAAGGCCACCCTGTTGGATGGGAATGTTGATCTGGATTGTAATGGGGTAATTGTATTTAGGTAAGTACTTCAAAGGCCTTCACCTTGTTTAATAGTTATTATCAGGCCCTGAAGAGTGACATCAGGATACCATAGTCCTAGACTGTGTGTGTGTATGTGCACATTTGCTTATTTATGTAGCATTTTGTTTGTTTTCCTAGGCTCACCATAGAAAGTTTCAGGAACCTAACTCTTGCTGTGGATTTCATTAAAAAAAACGATACCTAAGGAATCGCATACATAACTTGCCTTTGTTGCATGGGATTAAGATGTGAATGGGGTTACAAAATAAAGAGAGACCGCTCTGGAGCCAGGAGGGTGGAGCTGGGGGATGAAGGAGCAGTGACTAAAATAGAGGCTGAAGGGATAGCCTTCCCCAAATGCCCCCAGTCGTGAGATAGGTTTCATCCTTGTTTGCTCTACTAGGTGGGTTCACGTAAAAATGATTCTGTGAACAAGGTCTTGGAGAGAAGATAATTTAACAGAACTTTCGAAATTCAAAACAAGCCTGTGTCCTGGCTGAGGGAAAGGTCCCTATCTCTGCAATCACTCTGAGGCTGTTGAAGCAGCATCTGGATAAAGGGATGGGTTACTTAAGAGAAGAGCCTCTTAGAGAAAAGACTACCAAAGATTTTTTTTTTCACCCCCTGCACCGTGTGGATCTTAGTCCCCCAGCCAGGGATTGAACCCGTGCCCCCTGCAATGGAAACGTGGAGTCTTAACCACTGGACGGCCAGGGAAGTCCCCAAAAGACTAACAGGCGTGGCCCACAGGGATGACCCAGTGCTGGCCCCCTTCCCACATCTTTCTGCTTTTTGGTTTTCACATAGCAGCTCATTTAATGCTGCAGGATCTAACTTATAAGGTGATTTTTATTTTTATTTTTATTTTTATTTTTATTTTTATTTTTTTTTGCAGTACGCGGGCCTCTCACTGTTGTGGCCTCTCCCGTTGCGGA